CACCCATCACCTGGGCCTGACTTCATCTTTAGAGGAAAGCATAACATATCTGCTATGGAGAAGGTGAATTCATGTAAAGCCATTTCCCTTAAAAGAAAGAAAGAAAAAAAAGCTTTCTGAGTACAGTAATTCTCCAAAACTTGGGGAAACTTCATACATTTTTAACAGGGCTCAGGGTTTGTTCTGCTGGCCTCAGTATCTTTACTCTTATGGTTTTTTTTTTTTTTTTGGTGGGGGATGTTGGTACAGGAGAACAGGGGTATACAGTAGAAATATACTGAGGCTAGCCAGCAAGAACTGTGTGAACTGTGACTTTGGACTGTTTCTCAGGAGCTGTGCAGGACAAGGGCCCTTGGTCCCTGAGGATTCCCTCCATAGTGGAGGGGTATCTTCCCACTTTCCACCTGCTGTGGCCTGGCCTTCCTTCATGCTGGAAGTTTTCAAGACCTTGAGTAAGCATGTAGGAAAAGTAGGCCGATTCCAGTGGCAAGAAGACTTCTTGGGGTTTCTTTCTGTGAATACTTATACTGCTGGAATTGGACAATCCAGTAGTTTAGTACTTACTGCAGGGGTGTGTTTAGGAACATCCTTTTTTTTCACCTCTAGACTCACAGATATAATAGTGCATATGTCATCGTCATATTTGTGCTACTGTTATAAGCCCTAAGTTGCTGTGTATCTTGACAAGTCTATACACTGGTCTTAATTTTGATAATAATAAATAATATAATATCCACTTTTCTGTTGATTAACTTTTTGAAGATGTGGACTGGGAGTTTCTTATGTACTTATTTTAAATGACTGGAATTTAATTCCATCAAGTGTTGATATGAGTATCGTCTGGGTAAGAGTTGTTTTAGGGCCAAACATCCTATCTAGTTGGCTCTGAAGGGAAGTCATGGAGCATCTGATGACACCAACCTTCTTCAGCTATCTGCCTCCTTGTTTCTTTTTTTTTTTTTTTGCAGTGCTGGGGAGGGAACCCAGGACCTTTCACATGTTAGGCAGGTACTCAACCACTAAGCTACATCCCAGCCTTGTTGACTCATTTTTTGATAGATTGATAATATACTTCTTTCCTGTTTCTAGCCTACAGCATGGGGCTGGCACCTGTTCCTTTCTTTCCTGGTGTTTGTGAGAATGCACAAGAGATTATATCTCTAGAAGCATCTGAAAAACTTGACAGACAATATTTTAAACAGGTTATGCTATAAAAATATAAAGAATATAAAGAGCCCTCATGTTAGTGGAGGTACCAAGGGTTTGATAAGGAGTTAATCTTGATTTATCTATTGTGTCACCTCCGCTGGACTGGCTTTATGTGGAATAAAGTGACAGTAGACTAGATGCAAAGATTGGCTCCAGTCCAACGGATACAATCTGTATTTAATCAAATGAACAACAATTAATATTGTTTATTTGCCTTTATAGGAAAGAAAATTGAGTAGTCATTAATTACTTTTTTGAGGATACTGGGGACTGAACCTAGGCATGCTTTACCACCAAGATATACTCCCAGCCCTTTTTATTTTTTGAGATAAGGTCTTGCTAAGTTGCTTAGGCTGGCCTTGAACTTGTGATCCTCCTGTCTCAGCCTCCTGAGTACCTGGGATTACAGATATGTGCCACTATACCTGGCTATTAAATACTTTTAAACAGCTAATGATGGGACATATCATGTATAAAAGAATAATAAGGTAATACCTAATCACTGTGTCATAAAAACAATTTAAATGTATGCTGATTTCTCAGTTGTTTGAGAATAGAGAACTTTGTGCTTAATGCTTAGTTCTCATAGGTGCAAAGAAGCTGGTAAATTGTTTTTCACAGTTTTCAGCAAAGGAGTCTTGATTTTGACTCAGGTGTTGATTTTCTGTCTCCAGGTGTCATTTCCTGTGTTTTATGTGGTAATTTGGCATGAGAAGGTGAAAAAGATAGTCTTCTTTTTAGGTTTAAATATGTGACATGCTTCTGCTGGTAAACATAAAAGGGATTTACTCTAGTGTGAATTATTAACATGTTTTTAAAAATCAACCAGGTGATTCATTGGGTGCCTCTATTATCTATCACAAAAACTCTATCAGGATTCAGTTATTAACTTTCATAGGAATGAAATTCCTGTTTTTTTTTTTTTTTTTCTTTTTTTGCACATGTAGTGCTTGGGACCTTACACATGCCTATGATAGGCAAACACTCTACCATTATAGTTGGGTTGCATCCCCAAACCCCTTTCTTTTACTATCAGCATATACTTGCAGAGTGGTGTACAGTCTTGGAAGTTTTTCATATACACTGACTTTTTGTTATTTGTTTTTCTTTTGAGACAGAGTTCAACTATGTCACTTAGACTGGCCTGGAACTCCTGGGCTCAAGCCATCCTCCTGCCTCAGCCTCCCAGGTAGCTGGGATGACAGGTGTGCATGTCACATCTGGCTGCCATACACTAACTTTTAACGAGGCAAGGAGTTATGGTCTCATTGTATAGATGGGAACTGATTCTCCAAGAGTCAGTGACTGCCCAGAGTCATAGCCAGAAGGCAACTGAGCTGGAGACTCCTGTGCCATGATTGAGGCACTTTGAGGCTGAACTGGAGACAGGTGACCTTCCCAGGGTCTGATTGTGCAGTGGCCACTGCTGTAGCCTATGGGTTGTGGTGGGGCTCGGGCTCTAACTTTGGTGGCACATCAGAGTTCTCTGGGATGCCAGGTCTTGGGGTAGACTGGGTACCATTGTGGTTTGAAGCTTCACAGGTAGTCCCCATGGGCAGTGGTGGGGCGTTAATCTTAGCCTAGGTCCATCTGCTACCTGCAGGGGAAGCTAAACTAAGCAGGAGTCTGAAGGTGAGAATAGAGAACTTTGATCCATGTGGCTATGGATCTGGCTCCTTAGGAGTGTGCACAGCTGGCAAGGAGTGTGCAGCAGTTTGGGGAAAACTATGGAACACTCAGGGCTGTCAGGATTTTGACTGGTTTTGGGCAGTTTGAGACCTTGAACAAAAGTTCTGTTCTTTTTTTTTTTTTGGTCATAATCGATCTTAGAAGCCTGGGTATTTAACCTTACCTTTTCTCAGTGATAGTAACATTAGATGATGGAACCACTTGCTTTTAGTGTCAGAATAATTCCCTTTGTGTAGGGGTCAAGCTGAAACATTTTTAAAGTAGGCAAAACTGGATTGGTAGCCTGGGATTTTACGTCATCCAGTTGACATTCACTCCCATCTCCATGTGGATGTTTTGTTTCACCCTTTGTTCAAATCTACCACAGCTGTCTTTGGCAGCAGGAACAATGTGTCTTCAGGGACATAGTTGGTATGTGTGTCTCTGATAATGCTAAGGCATATTGGCAGTTGGCTTCCAGAAGTCAAGGTTGCATGGGCCTGCTAAGTGTCTTTCCTTATGGCATTAGCATGGCTGGTCTAAGGGGGAACATATTATTCAGTAACATATGAAATGAAACAAATTGTAAATAACTAAAATGGTGGTGTATTATAGATAAAGCCTTCCCTTGGAGTACAGGCCCACAGAGAGACTTTCCAGAAGATTGAAATGTGGTGTGGGCGGCACAGGTCTCATAGACCTGTGACGGGGCTGGTTATAAGAGATGGGAATAGACTCGAAATTCAAATGGTGTACTGAAAGTCTCTGGTATAGGTTAGTGTTCAAACCTGGGAATGTGAGGTCAGGATCTGAGGCTTCCTTCTTCCAGGGGTGAAGCTGCTGCAGGGGTTGGTAGGGACTCTTTCCTGAGGGAGCCCTGGCTAGGACAGAAGAGCTCAGCTACAGCTCATGAACATGGGCCCCCCTTCCTCACACCTGAACACACCCATGCTCACTCTGACACCTGGGAGGCAGGAGAGGCAGGGAGCCTGACCTTGATGTACTCTGGGTCTGTACTTGTGTAAATGAGATGGACTGGGAAGTAAGGGTATAGGGCCCCTTCATCTATTGCTTCAACTTGCAAAAGTCTCCCAGGGTCTGGCTCAGCTGTGTCCTGATGTCCCTCTGGCTCCTCCAATCTGTGACTCCCTGACTGGTTGTGTGTAGGGTCAACAGGGCCTTTTATGGAAGGATTGCTTTCAAGGGCCTTAGGAATCACCAAATAAAGTAAATATCTTATGTCATTGCTGCCACCACTATCCCTGAATTAAATGGCCAGAAGATGAGTCAAGGCAGTAAAAATAAAGGAACATTTGGAATTTGGGTTACTTATATTTCACTGAAAAAAACCAAAGGGTAATTTATTTTTGTGTTACATTGATTGCATTTATGGTGGAGAGCCATACATTGCCTATTGGACGCATGTTTTCTTTCCTAGAGATTATCAAGTCCATGTTTCTTCAAGGTGCCAGCATGCCTTCTGTTAACAGTGTACACCCTACTTTACATGTAGTCACTTTAAAGAGAGTTGGAGAGGAAAAAGCCCACAGTGAATGGGCCTTGCTGGTTCAGGGACCTATGGTCACCTTCCTCTGAATGAAGGCTCAGAGAACCAGGCTACCAGTCAGCTCCTAGGCTTCCCTCTATGATCCAGCTCCATAATTCTAGATCAAGCTGAAGATCTGTCTTTCCCTAGGATCTGGTGGTCTGCAGCCTGTAATTGCCTCTTTCTTTTCTTATGCCCCTGCACAGCCTGTCCCTGGATGGCTTTGTTCCACCATTGTCCCACCCTACATGCCCAAGCCCTTCTGTTCTTGTGCTAAGCTGTTCCAAATCCTCAGGTCTCAAAGGTAGCAGAGAACTCAGGTGGAGGCCTGACCCTGAAGAAACCTGGCTGGAGGGCAGGCTCTCCCAACCTCCTTGCCCTGCCCACCATGTTGACAGGCTTCCCTGTTTCTAGTTGCTCAGACTTCACATTTTAATTAGCAGCTAATTGCTGGACAAGCCTCTGAGAAACTTTATGAAAGCAACCTAAACTTGCCAGACCACACAATGAGAAGGACTCTTGGCACTGCTCTCCTCATCTTCCTGACTTTGCTACTAAAAGGTGACACACAGAGCCATTGCACTGGAATGATCCGTCTTTTATTAATAACTTTAATCATCCACAGAGATCAAGTGATCAGTAGCACACTTGTCCCAGATCTAGTGCTATAATGCTAATAATTGAAACCAAGAGATGGATGCCTTGACTCTCCATGGGGTGAGGGATGGGAGAGAGTACCCTGTCCTCCCCCTCAGGTCAGCCTACATCTGTCTGTCCCCAACCCTAATGAGGCCCATCAAAAGACTCAGACCCATATAGGTTCAGACCCTCTATCTAGTACAGCATCAATAAAGTTACAGAAGGAAATGTGATATATTTAATCTGGCCATGATGTACTATCATTTTCCCACTCCAGCTACTTTGTAATGACCCATTAGCACTTCCATCTGCCTACACATGAGAAGGTCCTTAAAGGTTTGTATCAGCTGGGCACAGTGCTGGGGCTGAAGGAAACGAAGAGCACAAGTATGGTGGGTGTCCTTACAGCCAAAGTTTTGCTGAAGAGGCAGGCGAAAGTCAGGCAGAACTCAGGCGAAAGTCAGAACTCACTGGCAACGAATAATAGGCACCTCGAACTTTCGGAGCCAGGGGATGACCCAAACTTCAGTATAGCAACTCAGAATCTGAAAAAAGAAAGGCTCTCCTAAGGACCCCCTGAATGCCTCAGAGGACCCTCCCCACCAAAGAACTCTCCTGGCACACTTTGATACCACACCTGGGCCACTAAGGTGTTGTGTATGTGTGTACATGGGTGTGTTCCTCACTGAAGAGATATCCCTTGCTCCCATTTTTATTTGGAAAATTTTCAAAGAAAATTGAAAGAATGATTTAAGAATATGTACTTTTCACCTATATTTATGAATTAATGAGTTTTGCCACATTTGCTTTCTTTTTGCAAAGGGAGATATTATATATCATTTTATCATATATCATGCTATATATATTTATCATAACATGATATATATCATACCATATATAATATATAAATCATATGACATACTATGTATAATACACACAGACGTATGTAATTTCTGAATTATATGGAAGTTTTTCCTGCTCAAATCTCCCTACCCTGATTCCAGGCATTTCTGTCCTGAGATGTGTCTTTCAGGGAGGGACAAACAGGTCATGTAGGGGGGTGTTGGAGAGGATGTCGTTGCCTCGCACTCTCCATGTGTGTCTGTGCGTTGTGCTTGACCTCTTCTGGACTGAGGTTTGGAAGTGTGTGGTCAGGGAACTGATCAGGTCAGAGAAGCAGCCCCAGCCCTGAAGGATGAATGGAGCAGTTAAGGAGGGCTAGGCTGAGAGGGCAGCCCCTCTTCCTTACGCGCTTCAAGTCAGGGTTGGTTTGGAAGTCACAATTGTCCAGGGGATGATGTGTGGTTTTTCTGCATGTAGTTCTGCCGATTTCCACCTCCAGCATGTATTTCAGGCCTTTCACTACCTGGAACGAATAAAGGGATAAGGTCCTGGGTTATTGGGCACAGGCTGGCTAGGATGGCAGCCCCTCTGCTAGCAAGAGGTGCATTAAGATAGATGAAGAAGGCTCTGGACAGTGAGCTGGCTTCCCAGAGCCACCTCTGGGTGAAGGAAAGCCCAGGACTTTGTAGAAGAACTAATGGGCTGGACTCCCCTGACTCCCTTTCCCTGCTTACTCACAGGGCTGACTGACAAGGACTTGAGGACTTTGTGTCCTATTTTAGGATGGCTCCTTTCTGCTCAGAACTCTGTATTCAAGAGGGATTCCAGGCTGGGGTTGCCCCATCCCACAGGCCCTATGCACCCAAGGTGGTGTTTGAATAGAGGACACACCTGCTGAGTTCTAGACATCTGCTAGCGTCCTTCCCTGTTCCTTTGGAACGGTGTGTTTTGTTTTATTTTAGATTTCAAAATAGCCCCTCTCCATTTAGACATAGCCATGACCCATTTCATTTTCTTCTTTTATGTTCTAAGAAAATTTGGATACAATTTCCTCAAGTTTTAATCTCTGGCCCACCAAATACCAAATGAAATAAAATATCCAGCATCACCAAGGTACAGAAGGACAGTGTCCTGATCCTGTCATGGAGGACTTTGGGGACTCAAGTCCAGAGCATTGCACTGACCTTCTTGGGGAAGGCAAGACCCAAGGCTCCTGAGACTGGGCCTTGGAGTGATGACATTGGCACAAACCAAACTGTCTTCTATAGCATGTTTCCTAATATCAGAACACAACTGCTCTCACAAAATTTGCAGTTTGGGGCTGGGGTTGTGGCCCAGTGGTAGAGTATTTGCCTAGTATGTGTGAGGCACTGGGTTTGATTCTCAGCACCGTATATAAATAAATAAAAAATAAAGGCCCTTCAACTGCTAAAAGTATATTTTAAAAATGTTGCAGTTGCCCAAAAGCATAAGATTATAAAAGTCACCACTAACCCTGTGGTTACTGAGTCAGTAACCAAAAGTGAAGTGAAGACCATCTGTTTTAGGGTAGGGCCACTCCCATGTTACTTCTGTCCCTCCAGGCACCAGGGCAAGCTGGGTGTGTGGATGTCATCTGAAACCAACTTCCTACATGAGCAGATGTGTCCTTAGAGACCACCAGGCAACCCACCTCCTGAAGGTGTCTCATTTTAGTGGCACTCCCTCCTCCACAGAAAAATTAAGCTTCTCCAGAGACACCATAACTGTTCTTAGACCATCAGCAAGAATTTCTGCAACAGATTTTTCAGGCAGGAGGTGTGTTGTAGAAGCAGGATGTGATAAGAAAGGCTAATAACCCAAGACCTCCACAGAGGCATTTGCATTTTTGTATTCAGGCCTGGGTTCAATGCTTTCAACAGTGAAAAAAAGCTGCTATTGTGTGGACTTCTACATATTGTGAACCTCTGAGCCCCTCCCCCTACATACTGGGTATAAAGTTCTGAAAATCTCTGAACTCAGGGTTCAGAGTGATGGACTGTGGTGAAAGCCTCCATTCTGAACCTGGCTGCAGCCAATGAACCTGCTTCCTGTCCATGCCTCAGTGTCTAGCCTCGTCTGTCCCACAACATCCTCACTGTTCTACTTCCCATCATCCATGCTGGTCATGTATTCTTAGGACACAGATGAACAAGGCTGACTGTGCCCCTTGGGCTCCTGAGGAAGGAGGAACAGCACTGAGCAGGCACAATAGATTACTAAGAAGAGTGATGGCCTTACAGGATGTGACATTGAGCAGGCTGATTGGCATACAAGTTTTGTGAGTCAGAGAGGGAGTGACTTGGGCATAGCTGTGGGATCTGAATGTATATTCCAAGTGAATGATGAGAAGGTCTTTGGGCTGCAGGAGGGACTAAAGCTAGGACAGGGGTCCTGGGACCCTGGTGGGGGTAGCTCCAACAGGTAAAGCAGTGACCTGCTCTGCAGGAGTGTCAGGCTTAGCATGCTACTTTAGGAGTGGGGTTATTGCCTCTGCACTCCTTAGTCCCATTAATGGGCTTTAGGCCAGCCGCCTGGTGACCACCCAAGGGAAGTGTGGTTTGAGCAAGCAAAGGACCCTGGGTTTTTGTGTTTGGCTGTGAGTCACACTGGTTTTGATTGCCGCCATCAGCTTCCTGTCCTTGTGTATGTTCTAGTGGTGGGTTGCTGTCTCTCGGCTTCCCAGGGGTGTATCTGATAATGGGGCCACCAGAACCTAGACCTTCACCTGTACCAGTGCTCGGCTAATGTAGGACTCCTTGAACAAGAAGATGTCATTTGTGCAGTTGTTAAACTTTTCCACACTGTGTCTGGCAGCTTTGAGGACTCCTGGGTCATCAGTCTTTATTGTTTTGGGAAATCCTGGCTTCACACCTGAGTTAAAGTCCTGTGAACAGAAATCTGAAAGAGAGAAACACAGTACCAGATGGGAACATTGATGGTAGCAGGGTACATAATCCAAGGGGCAATGCCTCATGCCTTGGGTCACTTAGTTATTCTCTCTGCCTTATGGCCCTCAGCCCTGATTATTCCCTGTTCCATCTACCCACGCTCACCCCACCATGCATTTGTGTATCCATATGTCTGCTGAACATCCAAAACTCCTCAGCTAGATGGTGCTGAAGGTATGATGTAATCCCTATCTGTTATGGTTTTGATCTGAGGTGCTCCCCAAAAGCTTCTATATTAATACAAAAATGTTCAGACGTGAAATGATTGGATTGTGAGAGCTATAACCTCATCAGTCCATCCTAGTTCAAATGGACTGAATGGTAACTGGAGGCAGGTGGGGCATGGCTAGAGGAGGTGGGTCACTGGGGGCATGCCCTGGGAGGGTTCACCATTCCTGATGCCCCTTCCCTTTGCTCTCTCTGCTTCCTGACCCCACCATGAGCTGAGAAGTTCTCCTCCACTATTCCCTTCCGCCATGATGTAGTGCCTCACTTAGGTCCCAGAGCAATGGAATCAGCTGTCTATGGACTGAAACTTCTAAAATCGTGAGTCCCAAATAAACTTCTCCTCTAAGTTGTTCTTGTTGGATGTTTTGGTCACAGCAATATAAAAGCGCACTAAAACACTGTCCACTCCCCCACCAGACAGAACATTTTCAGGACCCAGGGGAATTTCCAACATGTATGTTAAAGAAATACTGAACATGCCCCCCTAGTGGTGAGACATCTGGATAGGATGTGGTCTTAGGGTGTTAGAAGAAGCTGGCCCTGCCTGCCCCTCACCCACCACTTCCAGCTTGTCCTAGCCAAGTGGATCACATGGACTGTTCAACCCAGTCCTGCCTCTCCACTGGTAAGGCCCTAGCTTCAACCACCCTCCTCTTGCATTCTTGGCAGAACATCTGATCTCAAGACTCTGGTTGGAGCCCACCCTAGCTCTCCCACTTCCTACAGCTCCAGCACTGATGTCTCTCCTAGACTGTCCCCTGAGGTTCTCTGGGTATAAGTCTGGGTATAAATCTTTACTTTCCTATGAATGAATGCCAATTCTTCAGGGATCCACTCAAGCCTGGCATGTAGTCAGTTAAGGATGGTAGGTGGGCTGGATTGATTCTACTTTCTCTTGCTCTTCCTGTATCAGGAAGCCCATATTTGGCCAGAATATGAGGAAAGTAACATAAAGGGCTTCTGTCACCAGCATCTGTGCCAAAGCCAGGCAGAACAGAGGACCCCAACATCCCTCCTTGGCTCCCCAAACTCTTATGCTTCTAGTTCCTAGAGAAGTGGAGCTCGAAGACTTGAAGGATTCCTGATGACCCTGCTCAAGTCCAGCTTGCCATTCATTCCTTTGTTCAACTTGTTCATTGGCCCTTGTAGCACTTGCTTTCTGAGCTTTCCTCTTCCTGCCAGCTCTGGGAACTGGGGATGCAGAAGTTTAATGCTCTACAAATAAACAAGATCAACGACAGAGCAACAAGACATTTAAGACAGGGGAATGAGGAGTGCAGGGGCCTGTCTGTGAGGATACTGGGTCAGTGGGTTGCATCCACATTCAGAGAGTGGGGAGCCATGGCAGGCAGCTGTGAGTTGGGATTTTAGTGGCTTGGTGTGGACTGACATAACCCATTTTCTAAAAATCAAACATATTGCTACAGTAGCTAGAAGAAAAATTCTACTCCATCAATCCACAGATCCTTCACAAAAAAGAAAAAGAAAAAGCAAAAAACAAAACCCCACTTAGAGTGTGAAATAGAACAAAATATGTAGGCCAAGACCTAGGAGACTAGGGATGCTGGAGTGAGGGGAGGATTAGGGGTAAAGCAGAGCCAGATGCAGGTGTTTGATTTTATGAAAGAAATATGACTCTAAAGAAGCCACAGAGGCTCCATACTGCGAAAAGTGAATAAGGACCTTTTCTGGTTGATGGTTAATGAGTGTCTTGAATATTACTCCCCTCTCAAAAAAAAAAAAAAA